GGCAAGAGAAAAAGTTGGCAAGAATGAACAAACAGTTTTTGTTAGCTTTACAAAATCGATCACAATAAACAAACAAAGGACGTTGCGGTTATTAGCCTTCATCAGCACATAACGAACAACACAGTACACGTACACAAATATGCTCTAACTATGAAGTGACTACATAGGACTCTAATGTACAAAATCAATGATACTCATCTGTGTTCCTGGCGAAAAACTTGGTTCAAAAGGATGGCCGGAACAGCTACTAGCCTATTCATCACCAAAGAGCGGGCCGGGTGTGAAAAACGGGGATAGTATCCCAGCGTACACTGAGTGTCTAAAGAGGGAGGGAAAAGGGAAACTGCACTGAAGATTGCACAGGACAGGAAAGCATGAAAAGTTCTCTCTGAAGCCTCATGCGCCACTAGGCATACCGAGAATTGATGATGATATTTTTATTGTGCCTGTTAAATTGCAAAGTGTTCCTGTTGGAGCTCCTGCTGTCTGTTTTCTGCTGTCTGTATGTTCATTAAAGTATCGTTTTATTTTGTGTAATATTCTTCTTTTGTTCCACTGCTTGTGTCATAGGGCGTCACATAGAAGAATTACATGTAGTTTTCTGTCTTTTGCTGATTGTGTAGCTGGTTTTATAGTGACACACTGCGTTTATGTAACATCTCTTTTACTCCCCCTACCTTTACTTTCTTGGTCGACCTCTTGCCTTGTAGCCTGCTGTTCCCATGTAGTACACTCAAGCTGCTGGTCCATCTTGTTCCATTCTGACCAGATAACCAAATCATTTGATTCTTTGATATTTTATGAAATCATTTACCAGTAATGTGCCTACAAGTTTTCTTCATTCTTCGTTTATGACTGCCTGCTCTTTTACTTCTGGCATAAATAAACAGTAAACTTCTTTCTGTGAGTACAAATCAATACATCGTCTGTTTGTTTATTATACATTATTTCTAGCGGCATTTCTTATGCGCCATATTTGATGACCTTATTTTCCTGACTGTGTTTCCTGTTACCTATCTTCTTTTGTTCTTTGTTTGTCTGAGTTGTAGTTGCAGTATCATTTTATGTGCGATGTATGTCATTTCACTTGTTTATTAAATACTAATTAAAATCAAGAGAAAATCTTCAGGGATGTAACATTCAGATGTATGTATTGTAGTAATTCTATGACAACAAAATACAATGAAAACAAGAAGTTCTACATTGAATATATGGTACAAATCTAGCAGATATTAATTACGTCAATACATATATGTCTTACTTGCAGAAACTTCTAGCCAATTACTAATATGAAACATTGTATCGTTGCACGATGCAATGGTAGATGAAATAACAAATCTCTAGTGAGTTAATATTGCAGCTTTGCACACCGCAATCACAAATCAAATCCACAAATCTCGAGCTTCTTTTTCTTCAACGGTCAAATCTTACTGTGCATTCTATTCTAACAAGGATCGCAAATAGGACAGGGCGCTTAAAATCTTAGCGGGTGCACCTTGTGATGTTTTACAGAGTCGTTCCTCTGGGGCAGATTTCTTCTCTCCTACTGGCAATATCTGGGCAGCCTTGTGAGACATGCTCTCCAGTCTGCTTTGGGGCATCCCAAACGCATGTTGTAATCGGCAAAATCAAACGAACCTGTTTTCAATACCTGCACGATAATACATCTGTAGGGCGTTTCTAAAGTCTCCTAACACTTTGTATGTAGAACAAATCTGCAAAACGGAATATATGACGTCATAAAAATATGAAGGAACAAAATGTGCCCCACAGACAACTGTGAAGCGAAATGAAGTGATTGGCTGTCGTTTGCTGGAGCAATTCTGTGCACTCAAAACAAAATGATGTTATTAACAGAAGGATGCTATTTTGTTTTTGTTGCTGTTAAACAAGTGTTTCGAAATGACGACCGAAACAAGTGGATTGTTGTTTAAAGATTTATAGCCAGATTTCCTGATAAACATTCTTCTTATCGCATTACGGTTATAAATGTGTTGAATAAGTAATAATAAATATTTCTATGGTACTTTCCAGCTTTCCCAAAAACAGCGTTAGACCATAGCAGTATCTATTATAATTAGTTTGATGACGTTTTTTGTCATATGTTTTTAATGAGGTCACTTTTTTTTTAAATGAGGTCGTGTATTTGGTTGTTTACAGTTGTTCTGCATTCAACGTGTAGTAAAACTTAAAAAAAAAAAAAAAAAAACTGCACAATGCGTTAATACCGGCACGTTGCACTACACATTTTAAATTCTGATTCACATAACTGGAATTTCTTCTGTATCTTCAAAAGTTTATTCCAGCACTCAGGATAGTGCGCTTGGGGTTTTTGTTGGTGTCCTGTAGTGGGTCTTTCACGATCGCTCTCTTGAGCCATATTTCTCCTTGGGATTTTCAAAGTCCGGACAATCTTGTGAGACATACATGCTCCATAAACACATGTCACAGTCAGCACAAACTATCACATTTACATTCAATACTGCGCGATAATAAATCGCTAATGAGTTATGATTGCATCTTCGAAATATACAGTCATACATATTGAAAACCGCTAATTTCGCTTTTCTTTGGCGATCAACTTTTGTTATGCACCTGTTTCAACATGGATCACAAACAAGAAATGTTTTTAAAAGTCTTCACCAGTCCCCATAGTTTGTCTTGAAAGGTTGCTCCCTTGGGCCAGATTTCTTTAGGTTGTCTGGCAATGTCTGGGTAGACATGCTCTTGAGTCTGCTTTGGTTTGTCTTGCAGGGTTGCTCCCTCGGGCCAGTTTTCTTTATTTTGTCTGGCAATGTCTGGGTAGTCTTATAAGACTTGCTCTGGAGTCTGTTTTGGTGCACCACAATCAGATGCTGCAGTCAGAAACAGCTATAATTTACATTAAATACATGTACTAAAAAGTTGTCTATATAGAATTACAATATATTGTAACATTGCATCCTTGCACGATGCAATAATACATAAAATAAAACATTACTAACATTGCACCGTTGCACGATGCAACCATATATAAAATTACAAATGACTAGTACATTATCACTGCACATATGTACAATGTAACGGCGCAACAACTTCTACGTCTGGAACATATAAAACACAATGGCTGTAGTAAAATGTTAATGTACATGTTAAAAAAAAAATCTCTGTGGGAAAAGAAAAACAACTTTGAAAACGGTGCAGAAAATTTGAACCAATTAAAGGATGGAAGGTAGTTAGGACCACTCTCTATAGTAAATTTGATAATTCGAAAATCTAAATTAAAAAAAAAAAAAAAAAAAAAAAAAAAAAAAAATGTAATTATAGTATTTTAAAGGAATGTTGTCCCATTATAAATTAAAAAAATTTGGGGCACTGCCTAATTTATTGCTAGGATTTTTCGCCGAATAAAACAGAGCGAATGGCCGAGGGTTAAGAACTGTGGGCTCCCGGACTGAAAGGTAATGACAGTTTTGTTTGTTTCTACTGGGAGCCAAATGAAACATCCTAACCTGCACAGTTCATTGTGGCACAAGCCAGCATTATCGTCATCTAGGGCCGTGCTGTCTGTGACTTAAGCGTTGCGAACGCGCTTCATAATGCGGAGGTGCTGGGTTCGATCCTTGCGCCTTTCGTAGGGTTCGACAGGGGTATCGAGAAGCCGACCGTCCAGTAGGCAGTGGGAAACTACGGGACGTAAATGTGCCTAGAAAACCCCCAACAGCCGAAACATGTTGCCTTCCTCTGTCTCTTATGCCACAGATCTTGAAGGTATTCACAATATTTTCCAATTTCCTTTTTGTCATAAAAAAATGACCACCCCCCCCCCCCCCCCCCCCCCCCCCCCCCAAAAAAAAAAAAATTATGACTTTCTCTTTCTGATGTTTGTGACAAATTGTCTTTGAGCGTTCTTTTCTTTCAAAATATATGGGCAGCTCTTTTCAGCCGTCTAAGGAATTTTTAAATTCTTATGTAAAACCACATTTCAGAGACCTCAATAATTTGTTTGTCTTGTTTATTAACTGCCTAGGATTCATAGGCGTATGTAGAAACTAGCTTCATGTAGCATGAAGAGATTCTAGAATTCTCTAGCCAATCTTCCACAATCCTCGGGTCAAATAACAAGACTTATTGACCGTTTTCCTCTCCAGATTGTTATCCAAAAGTTTGACCATCCCTGCTACCCAAACAACTGCATCCTGGGTAACAGTCCATCCAACAGGAAAATCCCCAGATACCCTGTTAAACTTAGTAACAGCTTATAACGGCGATACCCGCAACGACTATGCTAAATATGATCACAGTAGTTCGTTTAGTCTTGTGCTTGCTAGAAGTAATTATCATCAAAATCAGTTTAAAATTGTGAAGCCATTAAGCGGTATGGTGGAGTGCCTGGAAATGAGAAAGTGGATGAACTGGCAGGGGAAGGTGCGACGAAAGTGCAGCCGGATGTACCAGTCACATTCCAATAAAAGAAAAGAATCAACAAATCGATCCAGAAACCACCAGCCCCAGCACAAGACGATTATTTCTGCCAGCCAGAGCCGCTACTCTTTACACGAATTTCACACCAGCATACCCTGGGACACAAATGAATGGTATTTTCGAAACGTTGCGTGCTGTATCAGATGGAGCCACTGTTTCCGTGTGCAGTTATATACCCCATTCAACCTCCAGAAAAATATAATTAGGGCACATCTAACAGCCACATTAGCCTGCAATAACCTTGCAGTCTTGTGCTGATAACGATGTTTATAATGCCAAGGCAACTGTCCTTTAATTTACTCATTTTAGAAATATTGGAAAAGGGGTGATAATCGTTTACAAAACCACACCATTTTCCCGGGCTGTTTTTCTTTTCCTTTTATGAATCTAGACACCCAAGCACTCTATAATATTTAATGAGAATGTTAAAAGCAACAGGAAATGTTTCCCGTGATCTGCCTTTTAACCCCGGGAAGAAAAATTATTTCTGACACACTCAAAAATCATGTTTGCTGGGAATAAACATTCAAGGGAGGTTATACATAAGTTCTATCTGAATTCAAGGGAACTAATCCAACATCGGCTCCGTCTTCTTGGATGCTGTTAGCGTCCTTGCCGTCAGACTGGAAGTTTCTGGCAGCGGTCTTCATGTTTATCCTTATCTGTTGGAAGATGACAAGAATTTCTTCCACTGGGGCGACGATGATGACTACAGCAGCCATCAGAAAAGCCCAAACCTGGAGTCCAAAAAAGGAAAGTTAAATTAACGAATCCTTTTTATAATATAATATTTGTGATATATGTTGAGGAGTAATTATTACCACGAAAATAGGAAATACTGCAAACAAATGTTTAAAGGTAGATAGCAATAAAGACATCCAAACACTCGTTAAACAATACCTTATTAAAACAAATCAAAAATAAAAAGACCAGATTAAGGATTTACTCAGTACAACAGAAGGAACTGATGAGATGGTAACCCCGGACACCCTAGAGTCAGAGAGATAGTGTAAGTATGATGAGTGCATAGATGTGAACATGAATACATACACAAGGATGAGTGCGTGTAGAATGAGTGCAATTGTGTATAGGATGGATACATAAGACACAGTGTATGTAGGCGGATGGTAAGGAAGCACGTATGGACAGGACAGTGGGAATATAGCTGTGCGAAAGGTACAGATGAATGAGTACATGGATTTAAAATATATTACTTTATGCATGTATATGTGGGTATGAGTATGCATGTGTGTGTGTGTATATATATATGAGCGTGTATATTTATATATTTGTGAGTGTATGAATGACAGTGCACTCAAAGAAACCATAAACTGTGTTGCTGTATGTCTGTTAATTAATGAGAACAAATGGAATGAAGGGTGTACGCAGCAAGAACGTCATCAACACACACCATCCACCAAAACATGATAAGACAGTACCGGACAGGTCACATACCAGTAACGGGAAATAACTTAAAAGTGACACGACCAGACGAAATTACAGACAAAGCGAAACAAAACGCATAAGACATGGAAGAGTGAATATCACTACGTGTGGATGTACTCGTTTTTTATGAATGTAAGTACAGGCATTGGTAGACGCATATGAAAGAGTTTGCGTGTGCACGTAATGTCAATTAGGTATGCATACACGGATAAGTATGAAAGGACGTGCAAATATGTAGTGTTGTCTGCATGTATAAGTACTCGAGTGCATGTACGCATACACCTAGTTGGGTGCGTCCATATACTCCGGGGATTCATACACAAAACCATCCCACTCCACAGCATGCATTCAACATGCACATGACCGACAGAACTCACAACAAAATATGACTGACAGCAAATAGGGACAACAAATGACTCGATAATGACAGGACTAGAACGCATAACCACCAATACCACCCCATCACCGTGATGATAGCAAAGGTTGGTAACGTGATACACATAGTCCCGGCAAAAGGCCACGCTAGAATCCAGCAAGACGGCAACGACGAGAAATGACTGAATGACCTTCCGCCCCCTTTCCCCTCACCTTTCCCTAACTCTTTCGGATGCACTATGAGTTTAACCAACCCATTCCCACAGAGAGCACTTGAGTTCGTTGCCCAACATGCCACAGCAATCTCATCGCCGAACATTTGGATCTCAAAGCGTGAGCTGGATGGTCCGGTTATATGGTATTTACGTACACCGGAGCTTAGCTATCAACACAACCCGATCACATAATAACAAATGACGACTGGACCCGCTTAAGACTCCACATAAACTCTCACACACATATCCATTACATGACTAACCCGTTCATATTACAGGAAGACAACTATAAGACCACTATGGTCACACGCGGAAAATTTTCACATTTTGGAACTATTCAAATTCAAAAACTGTTTTCAGTACTTTTGGCAAAATTAAATCACTCAAAATTTTAAAACAATAAATGGTGGCCGAAAGGACGTTGTGTATGGAAGCTCGCTCTCCTTCGAGATACGCCTAGCCAGATCAAAGGGAGACAGAACAAACAGGAAACACCAAGAAAGAAGAAGGAAGACATGCACCAGTGACAACAGGACGAGCGGTTTGATTCGGATGGAAGCATCAAGCCCAGAAATGGCACAAACACCAGTATTCAGTCACGAAAGTGACGCAAATAACCCAGACCACAAATATAGGCGGAGACTGTTAGCAGCCTAGGCTAGCTAGCAGCAGTCTGAACGTGGTGGAGCTTTTTTTTTTTTTTCAAAAGGACTTAAACTAGTCCAAAGTGTGCCAACTACATTTTTCGTTCTTTTTTTTTTTTTGGATGAAATTTTTCATTATTTGAAGCACAACTCTGGCTTTTGCCAGGGGCCGCAATATAGCCCGGCCATAAATATGGCCTAATGGCTGAACGCGGTTTCTGGGACCTCTCCAAAGTGATCATCCGCATGGCGGTACTATCAAGGCGTGTTTATCGCTTGTGTGATGTCCTCTTGAGGTACATCTTCCTACCTCCTAACTACGTCCCAATGTTCGACACAATTTTCTGTTTTTTTTTTTTAAAAGCCCCACCATGGCTGTTGCCGGGGCCCCTAAAAAAAGCCAACCTATGGGTTGAACGGGGTTTCTAGAACCTGTCCCCAAGTGATCCTTATCCTAATAGTGGCAGTTTGTGTCACCTGGTGTTTATCGCTAGGTGTGATGTCCTGTTGGGCTGAGCAGTATCATCGTCATATATGTGTGACATAAAGCTCATAGTTTAATCATCTATTCTGTTCTATGCTATACATTAAATTCAATGTAATGAATTGAATCCAGTCCAGCACCTTTATCCTCTCTCATCAACGTTCCTTTTTATGTTTCTTTTAGGCGCCCTCCTTCATCCTGTTATTTCTCATTTTAGTGTCTGTCTGGTGCAAAAGAAGAAGAAGAAGAAGAAGAAGAAGAAGAAGAAGAAGAAGAAGAAGAAGAAGAAGAAGAAGAAGAAGAAGAAGAAGAAGAAGAAGAAGAAGAAGAAGAAGAAGAAGAAGAAGAAGAAGAAGAAGAAGAAGAAGAAGAAGAAGAAAGAAGAAGAAGAAGAAGAAGAAGAAGAAGAAGAAGAAGAAGAAGAAGAAGAAGAAGAAGAAGAAGAAGAAGAAGAAGAAGAAGAAGAAGAAGAAGAAGAAGAAGAAGAAGAAGAAGAAGAAGAAGAAGAAGAAGAAGAAGAAGAAGAAGAAGAAGAAGAAGAAGAAGAAGAAGAAGAAGAAGAAGAAGAAGAAGAAGAAGAAGAAGAAGAAGAAGAAGAAGAAGAAGAAGAAGAAGAAGAAGAAGAAGAAGAAGAAGAAGAAAGAAGAAGAGGAGGAAGAAAGCCAGAAAACACGCAAGTTATTAAACAAACCTGTAAGGTAACCACCCATGACCGGAACTCCGTCTTCTCCAACACATGCATGCTGGCCATGCTACCTGGGATGACAACGATAAAGATGACCAGGCTGATGGCACCTCCAATGTAAGCGGTCAATTTGGCTGTCCGGAACACCTGAGACAGTTAGATGGTTTTAAAGCACTGATATGAGCAGACTAAAGACTTTAAGAGAGATAACTGAGACAAAAGTAGAAAGGAAACGGAAAAAAGAAAAGAAAAAAATAGAAGAAAAATATGACGTAGTTGTCGTCGTCGTAGTAGTAGCAGTAGAAGTAGTGGTCGTAGAAGCAGTAGTAGTAGCAGTAATATTAGTAGTTAGTTGCGTATCCTTTACAGGACGTTGCAGAGCCAACCCCAACATACTATGGCTTTTGTGTGGTTTTTCTAGGCCTTTACGTCCAGTAGTTTGCCATTGCCTCTGGACGGTCAGCTCTCTTGATACCATTGTCGAAACCAACGCAAGGTGCATGGTCCGCAGCTGGGATCGAACCCGGCATCCCGGCATTACAAAGCGTTCGCATCGACTTAGCCACAGAGCAACAGTAGTAGTACTAATAGGAAAATAAGTAAAGGACCTTTTTCCATGTCTTTTTCCATGTCTTTTTCCATGTCTTTTTCCATGTCTTTTTCCATGTCTTTTTCCATGTCTTACTGGGCATGTGGGTATAAAGCTCTTTTTTGTACGTGGGTGATGTGGTCAACACCGCGCCGGCCGCTTTTACTTTCTAGGACTTTACCTCGTACAGACTTAGGACTGGATCGTACGGGGAGCAATAGTCGTTTTTGAAAATAAGCCCTGCTCCTTAAGGACTATCGACTATGAAAAAAAAAAAAAAAGACAGAAAACAAGCGAAGTTATTAAACAAACCTGTAAGGTAACCACCCACGACTATCGGATCCGCAAGCGAGTGTCTGGCCGTTACACTACAGCGGCTCATCATATTAGAAAGAAAAAAGGATAATGTATGCTCGACGCCTTTTTTTTTTTTTTCGTTACTGGGGTTCACAAAATAATTTTCAAAGTCTCTAAGGCCACAGCAACTCTGTCTGTTGACTGAAAAGTTCCGATTTGCCCAAACAACATTGTCCGCGTCGATCTTTTGTCCCGTACATAGTGATTCGCATACGGCTCCGTATTCGTTTTTAAAGTTCGGAACTACTATTAAAGTGTTAATATAATGGTTGCTCCGACGTTTTTCTTTGTAAACAAAGTAGTTGTTCACACACATTTGGGCACAAACTGATCCGATTCATTGCTAGTGTCATTTTTAGACAGTGCTTTCTTTTTTTTTTTACACCACATATTTGTAAAGATAAATTATTGTGAGCCAAGCCTGTCAAAATTATGAGTCTGAAATAGTGGGTTATTACACTTAATTTAGGAGAGATAAAAATAAATGGAAATAAAGGAGAAAATAACTGCAAAGAGGATGAAAGAGAGAGAGCTAAGCGTCTGAGAAGAAACACACAATACATTTGCTGGCAACAACGGTTCTGAAATCACATGCTCTAATTGAAGAAGACTTTTCTCAACGCGTTCAGGTTTTGCTAGTCACACTCGCCATCGCCATGGGCTGTGAGTCCCCATAGCCTCCCCATAGCACAATCTAACACTATCGTCTGGAAAGACAAAAAGATGTCAACAACACTAGGCATGTTTAGAGAGATATTCTTCTCCTGACATTCCATGCCGTGTGGTAAATGAAGCTCTAAATTGTATTGTTGAGGAATCACGTTGCATATTTGCATTCTAATTTTATTTCATTTTAAACGTATCTCAGTGAAAGTTTGAGAACAACTAAAAATACGAAACGACAGTTTTGAATACAAACGCCCTAGGAAAACGATGAACATAAAATGGGTGAATTAAAGAGAGGTGAAGAAAAAAATATCTGGCCAACCACTAGTACCAACAGTTATAAGACAAATAAGATGGCTCAATACTGGACACATTCTGAGAAGAGTCGAGCAGAGAATCACCAAACAGGTACTGAAATAAGAAATAGACGGATTAAAGAAACTACTACATCTAAGAGAAACTCTAAGGCGAAAGTTGATGACAGAGGCCTCGGCTGCTGGATTGGATTCCATCGTTTGATGTGGAAGTGAGTTCACATGATAGAATGGCATAGAGGAATAGACTTCAAGGCCATTGCGATCCATAATGGCTTAATCGTGTAGTTAATGAATCGTATACCCGATGCGTTACTGACGTGAAAAGAGTCCTAAAGGTACCTTTTTACAAACTAACCTTGTCCAACTCGTCATAGGTCGGTTTCTCTCCCTCTTTTAAAGAGGGAAACTCCTCCTTGAAGAGCTCATTCCACGGTCTGAGAGGGTTGTCGATGTCCCGCGCCTTCTGCCACTCGATCAGCTCGTCTCTCGTACATTTGATCTGTCAGAAGACAAACAACAACACGTTCTATGTCAGCTTTCCGTCAAAATACTTGTCAAAAGCAGAAGCCATTATCTGTATAGATTTGATTAAGTTGTTCTTTATCTGCTATACTATGTACTTATATGTACATTATTAGTTGTAGAATAAAAGTGTACAATTGTAGATACATTTTATAAAGAGTATAATTTACAGTCGAAACGGTTTTACATCCGTCCCCTAGTGGGAAGAATCTTTTGTTGTTTTGAATATCAAGCCTGGTTGTTGCCGGGGGCCCTAATATAACACAACCTATGGGTTGAACGGCGTTTCTGGACCCTCTCCACGGGTGATCCTCATCCGAACGGTGGCACTTTGTGTTGCCGCTCTGTGTGATGTCCTGGTGGGGTTAAACAACAATCAATCAATTTACAGTCGTTTGGATTTAGAGCCGCAGGGTCAGGACAGTCGCCAATGGTGTGTAAGTTGGGATTTTTGTTGTTGCTCGAGACTAAAAAACCTTAAAGAAGATTGGAATTTGGGCCTCACGAATGAGAGTAAAGCGTTCTCAACTGTTCGACTAGCAGACGTTCATATGTGTACCATATAAACTGTAATAAATGAACGACTTGTAAGTTTCCCGGTACTAAAAGAGATCTTCTTTTTGTGTCCTAATGCTTATGTTGTAAAGAGTCGCAGAAAGGAGTTAGCAGTAGGTTCTAAGGCGTTGCGAGTCCGACTCGTAAGCCAGCATACCGCGATCGAAACCCACTGCGTGGATTTTTGTCGTGGTATGGGACGTCGCCGGTCGACCCAGCTTAAAATGGGTACCAGGATGGGCTGTCCTGGGAAAGTAAAGACAGCCGACGTAATGCTGACCACATTACCCACAGAGTGCTGATGGTCTGTAAAAATATGGGACGCTCTGCCCATATGCCCGATGCGCCGAAAGGCGTGAAAAGGGAACTTTACTTTACTTTCTTTTTCTACTTACCGAGCTAGTGTTCTATTTTGTGTCTCTATAGTGTCACTTTTAGTCCCGCATCCATCTCTTTTTTGTCGGCTTATTGACTTGTAACCTACAGTTCTTATGTAGTTCGCTCTAGCCGCTGGCTGGTTTCGTTTTATTCTCAATAGATGACCAAACCACTTTTTTTTTTGATGTCTTGTGAAATCATTTACCTACAGTGTGCCGATAAGTATTCTTATTTATTCATTGCTGACTCTGTCTCTTATTTTTTCCCCTCCTCGTTTCGTATGCATCTCCTCTCATCTCTCTGTGTGTGTGTGTGTGTGTGTGTGTGAGTTTGTGTATGCGTATGCATAATGATATTCCAAAACAAATCGTACTTTAACTTCCCTAACGTGGATCCACACATATGGTTATGCTGGCGTAAAGGGTAATGAGCGAGCGGACCAGCTGGCAGGCAGTGGAAAGAAGCATAGACACAGCAGACGTCATCAGTGCTGTAGGGAATGGACTAGTGGTTTCTGACGTTCTCTGAAACTAACACAAATGCGTGACATGGGAGTAAAGCATGGTGAAGCAAGTCTATGCTGTCTTCGAGGCCGAGATAGGAGACATTATAACCACCCTGTCATAGGAACAATTACTAGAAGCACCTTTGAGCGGCTGCTGCAAAGGAGGACTAATTACGCATGGGAATGCCCAATGTATAGTGACATCGATTGTGATAATATAATATAACATAGCATGTTGATATTTTAATGCCTCAAACGTGGCGCGACAAGACATAACCTACTTTGTTAGTCAAAAGCGACACGACGATGGTCAATACAAGAGACAAGCCGAAACTCGTGGTTGATCCGGCCAGAACCGAGTAGTCTCTAGAGGTGTTCTTCAGGAAGTCACTGAGACCACCTTCAAAGGTCGAGGCTGTGATGAAATTCGCCGTGATGCCACCGACCAGTCCACTGATGCTTCCTGTGGAATGAAAGAAGTGGAGAGGTGTGTTGGTTCATTGCTGATAGCAATGGGCGAGGGGTTTCAACGGCGAAGCCGTCAAGCAGTTTGCCTGACAGTCGTGGGTTCGTTTCATGGCGGCGCCGTTCAGTTCACGAGTGCAGTTTTTTTTTCGGAGATCCCTGGGGATCGTCGCCGGAGCTACGGAGGTCGTGCTTTTTGTAAGGCTCTCGACAGGCAGCTAGCTGGTCTGCGGAGAGAGACTGAGCCATAAGGGTTAAAACCCGCTGCAATGAAGATGATTCTCTCACCTTTACCTTTAACTTCACCTGATATCAGTTGGCGTATGAAACATGTAGATCAACACCTCATTGTTCTTCAATTCATCACCTACTTATTAACCTTTTCTTGTATCAAAGGCGGTATAAGATTCTCGTACTTACTCTTCCACGCTTGCCTGTGCATCCCAATGTCGTGTGTTCAGGTCCTGACGGAACCGGTTAATATCTAAAAAAAAAAAAATGACCTTGTTACCCCTGTTGACCCAGCCCTCGTGAGTACCTGGTAAAGTCCCAGAGTACCATCTGGTCTACCAAATAAAGGCCTGACCCTTTATGCACAATACCACTGAAGGTGTGGACACGGGTCCTATACTGTTTTTATTTTTTTAAATTTTTTTATTTATTAAAAAAAAACTTACTCTTCTAACTGCTTGAAGAAAGAAACTGAGTGTTTGGGGGGGGGGGGGGGGGGGGGGGGGGGATAGGGTCTATTCTAGGCAATGACCCTCTTGGAACCTTATAATGATAATAATAGCCAGGACAATGATGACGATAATAATAATACTGTGGTGAATGGAAACCAAAAATAAATAATGTATTTATAATAATAAGTTCAAACATTTGTTTAGACAATTTAGACATGTGTATAAATCTAGGCCGGTTAGCTACCACACACAATTTTTCAGGGGGTTGGGGGAAGGGGGAGGGGAAGTTCTCAAGAGGTCTGAATCCCAATTTCCGACGACCATGACCTTAACTATAGCACCACTGAAGAGTTTCTCTGAAGTTATCTTACTTGATCATTAATAGAAACATTGCAGAGTTTCTCTTATGTTACCTTTCTTGGTCAAAAGTAGACACCTTAGAGTTTGCCTTCTTAGCATGGTTATCTCTGAATACCCACGTTGTCAGCACACCCACGCGAGTCGTAAGTATGTGTGGGGTGGACATCAAGAGTTCGGACACAATGGAATACCTAGGCATGACATTTAACGGAAGCTTATCAAGTGAACAACGTCATACTTATAGCTAGGAAAGGTCTCACAGCACTCAAGATGCCAGCAGCAGCTGATATTGAACTGCGTCTACTTCTATTCTATGAAGGGCTTGTATTAAACGTCATTCATTATCGTCTGGGTCTTCTCACTGTCAGAAAAACCCAGCCAGAAAGACTGGGCCGATTCTAAAATGAGACCATGAGACACACACTGGGCTGCACAAAAGACATCTCCTGCCAAGCCCTGCAATATGTCCTGGGTTTGCCGACGATGGCTACTAGAAATTAAGTTGCTTACATGACGGTTTTGGCAGACGCTAACCAAACACTATACACGAAACATAAGAAATGCATCTTAAAATCCAGCAAAGGAATCCGTCATAATCCAGGAAGTATGTGACCTACACCAGATCAGTCGCTGAAAATAATGAACGAATACACCATTAGACATGCCTGTCATCTCAAAGGTTGTCATCACACTGGGGAGGTACTGCAGGGATCAGATTCCTGCAGCCGAACAAACAGGAGTCAGGGCACTGATAGATCAACATCCACACCCAGAAGACATCATCATCTACACAGATGGATACGTGAGCCGCGGATCAAGGTCAGCATAGGAAAACATGGCACAAAGGATGGGGGAAATTATAAAAGAGGACAGCGGCGCTTACTAGGCAGCTACGTCAAACATGACGCTGCTTTTAAAGCACTAGCATGAGCAGCAGAGCAAACAGCCAAGCATGGCGTAATTGTATCAGACTTCACACACGCTTCAGAAGATACCAAGGGGAATGAAACACGTCTATGCCGCCTTCGAGGCCCAGATAGGAGACATTATAACCAACCTCCTAATGGAACAATTAGTTGAAGTACTTTGGAGTGGCTGCTGCATCGGATTACGGAGCACGATTAGGAATACACAAAGTGCAGTGACGTCGCTTGTGATAACATAACATTGTAGAGATTCTCTGATGTGAATTTCTTGGGCAACCTCCTGCTCTAAATCCCTTTCCTGTGTTTCAGTATGCCCTGCACGGTTCAGCATCACAAGCCATTCTCTCCAAGTGTGCAGACTATTTGAATTGCTGCATCTGTGTGAAGGTTAGTATTGGCTCTATGCTGACTGTTTCTCTAATTAATTATAACCGATTGCAACATTAACGAATCGCCGTGGCGGAGCGGATCGGAAAGTCGAGGGTTCGCTCCCTGGCGGAGCCAACTTTTTTTTTTAAAATGATCTTGGCTCCCAAGTCGATCGAGCCTCCAGTGTGTACCGGGTGCAGTCCCGGGAAGTAAAAGCGGCCGGCGTGACGCTAACCACATCATCCATCTTGTGCCGATTGGTCTATAAAATACAAGTCTAGCCCTAAATGTTCTATACGGCTAGAGGCATGGAAAAATGTCCTTTACTTTTTTGAAAAAAATTGCAAGCCTATCATCAGACGCTGAGAAAATACTAGGTAAGACAGGCAGAGGAAGTCCGAGAAGGGCTGCATCTCTGGAAAGTGCCTCAAGTGGACAACGGGCGGCATTTTCAACACTGGGTTTACGTAAAAATGAACTCATAAAGGGCGTTTGAGTGTTTGGAACGCAGATGTCTGCTTCACATCAGGTAGAAGAAGAATAGGAAGAAAAAGAAGAGGAATAAGAAGAAGAAGAAGACGAAGAAGAAGAAGAAGAAGAAGAAGAAGAAGAAGAAGAAGAAGAAGAAGAAGAAGAAGAAGAAGAAGAAGAAGAAGAAGAAGAAGAAGAAGAAGAAGAAGAAAAAGGAGAAGAAGAAGAAGAAGAAAGAAGAAGAAGAAGCGGTAGTAACAGTAGTAAAACTAGTAGTAATAGTAATGGTGGTGGTGGTAGTGTTGGTAGTAGTTATAGTAGTAGTTGTAGTAATAGTAGTAGTAATAGTAGTAGTTGGGTGCTGGTTGTGGTGGTGGTAGTGGTGGTGGTAGCATTAGTAGTAATAGTAGTGAACGGAAAAAAAGAAAGATACAAAAAAATAAGTAAAAGGAGGCAGAAGAGGAAATGGGAGAAGAATGACGAAAATAATGAAAAAGAAAAGAAAAAGAAACAGTAGCATTATTATTATTATTAGTAATAGTAGTAGTAGTAGTAGTAGTAGTAGTAGTAGTAGTAGTAGTAGTAGTAGTAGTAGTAGTAGTAGTAGTAGTAGTAATTGTAGCTGCAGCAGCACCTGCAAAAGTAGTAGTAGTAGCAGCAATAGCTGTAGTAGTAGTAGTAGTAGTAATAGTAGTAGTAGTAGTAGTAGTAGTAGTAGTAGTAGTAGTAGTAGTAGTAGTAGTAGTAGTAGTAGTAGTAGTAGTAGTAGTAGTAGTAGTAGTAGTAGTAGTAGTAGTAGTAGTAGTAGTAGTAGTAGTAGTAGTAGTAGTAGTAGTAGTAGTAGTAGTAGTAGTAGTAGTAGTAGAAGAAGAAAAGAAGAAGAAGAAAAATAAGAAGAAGAAGAAGAAGAAGAAGAAGAAGAAGAAGAAGAAGAAGAAGAAGAAGAAGAAGAAGAAGAAGAAGAAGAAGAAGAAGAAGAAGAAGAAGAAGAAGAAGAAGAAGAAGAAGAAGAAGAAGAAGAAGAAAAAGCAACAGTAGTTATAGAAGTACAAGAAGAAGGACAAGAGCAAGAAGAACATAAAGTAGAACAACACCGACAACAAAGAACAGACACGGATACTCACCAACAATACCGACAACAAAGAACAGACACGGATACTCATCAACAATACCGACAACGAAGAACAGACACGGATACTCACCAACAATGACTCCTAATCCAGACGTCTTACTCCAGATGATAGCCATGAGTGCTGGCGGGAAGCTTGGAGTCGTCAGAATGAACCCACACAACATGACGTAGTTGAGGTCAACGCCGGACACCAGCAACACCATCCCGACTGGCAGCAGTCCCAGGGTGACCCAGAGGATGCACCAGGACTTGAAGGTGATCAGGGAATCCAGGTAGGAACGGTAGTCTCCGTGGAAAGGGCACCTGATAATAAACCCCGCAAAAAAAAAAAAAAAAACGTTAGTTGATTAACCTTCCTTGGACGTGGCAGAAACAATCCCATATTTTGTGTGTGTTTTGTTTTGTGGTTGTAGTTGTAGTTTTCCTACGCAAATTAACGTTCAGTAGTTTGTCATTGTTTCTGAAACGGTCGACTCTCGATACTACTGTAGAAATCCAAGCAAGGTGGTCTTCTGCCAAATCGCATGCAGCTTGAATCAAACCCAGCACCTCACCATATAAAGCGCGTTCGAAACATCTAAGCCACAGACGCCGACCCTTCCTTGTACAGCAGACCGCCATATCCGGCGTAATGTTGCAAGAGTTATATAAATATACAGTTTCTTCACCATCCATATCATTAAAACACCCATTTTGATATCACAACCCTCTCTTATTCATATTGTCTGATCCCTGAGTACAGGCCAGTACTTCAAACACTTTTCTTTTGTATTGCACTGTTCGATTTGAACATTATTACGGACAAATAACAAATATTATTTAAATTTTGAGATTTACCAAGTCTAACTAAATTTGGGGGAAAATTCAATCATGAGATGCACGCTAGCAACGACCTGGCTAAATTATTCCTTATTTCATTATCGAGGATATTTCAAATACACCACGAAGAAGAAGAAGAAGAAAAAGAAGAAGAAGAAGAAGAAGAAGAAGAAGAAGAAGAAGAAGAAGAAGAAGAAGAAGAAGAAGAAGAAGAAGAAGAAGAAGAAGAAGAAGAAGAAGAAAAGGAAGAAGAAGAAGAAGAAGAAGAAGAAGAAGAAGAAGAAGAAGAAGAAGAAGAAGAAGAAGAAGAAGAAGAAGAAGAAGAAGAAGAAGAAGAAAAGAAGAAGAAGAAGAAGAAGGAGAAGAATAAGAAGAAAAAGAAGAAGAAGAAGGAGGAGGAGGAGGAGAAGAAGAAGAAGAAGAAAAAGAAGAAGAAGAAGAAGAAGAAGAAGAAGAAGAAGAAGAAGAAGAAGAAGAAGAAGAAGAAAGAAGAAGAAGATTTATTTTCTTTTTCAACCAACCGACTTAACTCTGCCCTTTCTTTGTGATTACCTTGACTCCTACTTTTTCTTGCTCTATTTTTTACCTTTTGTCTACCAGAACTCGCCCGGCCATATATTCAAAAAGAGATCGAGCTACACGATATTCACATCTCGTCATGGGCAGAGTATGCTGAAGTTAATCGATACTCAGAATTACTATAGCCCGTTCTTTGAGGGTTCCCACGATCCCAGAAGCGAGGAAACCTTAAAACCCAATACTTAATTGCCTTATGATGACTTGGACCCCGGAAATCGCCGCTCTCCCGTGTTTGTGCAGAAATCTATACCATTTCTCCATTGCGCCAGGGAAAAGCGAGCCGCCGAAAGAAAAGGTTTGAGTCTAGAATCGCATGGAAGTCAAATATTCGATCTAGAAGAATCTGAAGCGGGAAAAATATCGGTAAAAGGTGTAATGATTACAGCTGCCGATAAAGTGCGGGTCGTGATACCGCACGTTTGAAGGGGAGTACATTTGATATAGGTGCTAAGAATGTAGTATCTTGCCTCGTTAACTGAAATATTTTGGAAATATCAAGCGTCATACGGATTGGAAAGAGTAGTCGCAGAAGGCATAGTACCAGAAAAAAAAGAGGCATGGGACGACCGCACGGAGATGGGCATACAGTATAAGGGACATTTTGAACGGATGTGCACGCAAAACTTAGGATCTTGAACAAGACTAAAGTTCATAGTTAGATAAACAACCACTTATTTTCGTCAGAATGTACAACCGGTGAACCCGAAGAAGAAGAAGAAAAGCATGAGAGTGAACGAGGCGGGAGAACTGGGGAGACACCGAGTTTCTTTCAGGTAGAACATGATGAGAGCGACGTTCTACAAAGTGCCTGCTACATGATAATGACTAAGTTCATAGAGAAAGACAAGCCGGGTATGTAAGATCCGAGTTCGAGAGAAAGATAGAGAAAGAGAGAGAGAGAGAGAGAGAGAGAGAGAGAGAGAGAGAGAGAGAGAGAGAGAGAAAGGTAGAGAGAGAAAGAGAAAGATAGAGAGAGAGAAAAAGGTAGAGAGAGAAAGAGAGAGAGAAAAGGGTAGAGAGAGAGAGAGAGAGAGAAAGAGAGAGAGAGAAAGGTAGAGAGAGAAAGAGAGAGAGAGAAAAGACAGAGGGGGTGGGGTGGTCATGATGAGTTGAGAATACACGGTCTCTAATTAAATACAGCCGGGTTTTGTGCTGGGAGTGAGGGAGCAGGCTGGGATTTAGACTTAAGATGCCCTTATGTTTTATGAAGCCCCGAGGCCCCTACCGTTTTCAATTATACAGATTTATATCAGAAAACTGTAAAATGTAAAAGTTAATAAAAGGTGAAAGTGTGTGCATATTAGGCTGATTATTAAACAGGCTACAACAAGATACAAAATTAAAAGCCTGAGAAAATAAATATACCCACAATACTTACGAATACATTTCTGCAGAAGTGAAAAAAAAAAAAAAAAAACCCAGTCTTTTTAGTGGTCCCAGTTAATATCAAATTTATAGAGAATACAAGGGATTCCTCCTTTTCATTTTCTTCTTTTTCTTCTTCTTCTAATTTTCTCTACTTCTCGAATGCCTTTCGTCACCAGGGCAGAAATAGATCTATGGAAGGGCCGTTCTGTTCGCTGGGTAAATATTACTTTTCAGTTTCTCTGATGTTTCTTTCTACTTTTGCATCGTCGGCTCCTGGATCTGTTATCTCTATAACATTGATCTCTGTAGTGCCATGTATGTTGCCGATCTTGTTACATGGCCAAACCATTTGATCTGTTGTCTACCAATACAGTTAAGTACTGGTTCTGTAGCGACTCTCCTCTTCCCCCTCCTCCTCCTCCTCCTTCTTCTTCTTCTTCTTCTTCTTCTTCTTCTTCTTCTTCTTCTTCTTCTTCTTCTTCTTCTTCTTCTTCTTCTTCTTCTTCTTCTTCTTCTTCTTCTTCTTCTTCTTCTTCTTCTTCTTCTTCTTCTTCTTCTTCTTCTTCTCGTTCACCACCTGTACACTCTAGCGGAAAGTTCTAGTTGTTCATCCACCTTTATACTGCAGTCCGGATCTAATACCTAAGTGTTGCGTGTGCATCCGTTTTACAGACCTGACTCATTTGTATGCAGACTGCTGGTTCTTTGCCTCTCAGGCAGATGAACTCCGACTTCGAAGGAAGCTCCCAATTAGTCGACTCTTACGACAGTGCTTTTGTGTAGGCAGTGGGTCTATTCTTTTTTCCCCTATAATAGTGCCCTGGAACAAACACGGGGAAACTCTCCTTCTGATATCATCGTCACTAAGTTAATCTTTCTTTACTACACCTAGAATGACATGACAAGGGATTCATCACACATAGGACACAATTAGAGCCACCCACATGTAGAAGCGTTGTCGGTTTTTCTCGGAGCTGGAGTGTAACCTTCTGTGGTCCTCTTTGCAGTAGGCGCACTCGGAGACCAGCGGGCACTGGCAATACTTGGCCCTCGACGAGTCCTCGTTGTTCTTATCTGTTGAATCTGATGTGACTTCTCGAAGCTTGACTTCTCCGCAGAGGATGCAATGTCCGGTCGTGTGGCGGTTTCTGGACAGTCAGAATAATAATAGTAACAGTAATAACAATAACAACAAAAACAGTATTGGTATTAGTAACTTCTTCTTCAATATTCCAAACCTTCGAGGTTAACTGATGTAGATATCACCGGCTTCCAGTCTTATCTCTCTGATCGATTTGCTCTTTCCAGTTATGTATAGAGGTCTGGGCTGAGCTGAACACCTTGTCATAAATCTTGTTGGTACATGAGAAGAGTAGAATAATCGAACGCGAGCCATATGTAATGTCTAACGGTTCCCGAAGAAAGATGATGTGCCTGTTGGTTACACATCACATCCCAGCCCCAAGTAGACACGGTCTCTTATCATAGACCTACATGCAAGTCTTGTGTGTGTGTGTGTGTGTGTATGTGTGTGTGTGTGGTTTTGGTTCAATTAATTCCATACTGTCAACTTTCACATACGCGAAGGATTCCATTTCACGGGCCCCAGTGTAATACACTGAATGCCATCACCTGAAAAAGATGCGGTATAAATGCATCGGTGAAATGGGGCTACGATACGCTGACAGGTCAATGCATCGTCTTTGTGATGTGTAGAACAGTGCCCTCAAAGCTGTTCCATTTAATGTTAATCGGTTCCCCTTGGCATGCATTTTCTGAATGCCCCTAACTTTTTTCAATGTTTTTTAATGCTTTGCCAACAATGTTTCTAGTAATAGCCATATTTGATGACCTGATATTCCTATTATATATATATATATATATATATATATATATATATATATATATATATATATATATATATATATATAATATGAACATGACATGATATATTAATAAAATACAATTGCAGTGGGAAATATGAGTGCTTGGAAGGGTCAAATGTAAGACAGGCCTATGAGCCCAGTTTGTGACCCTGTGAATATAAAATTCGTTGATGGAGTCTTAAGATCATTAATTTCAAGGAAATTCTTTCCGATTGAAATTGAGAGCCCTTGAAGTAATTTCAGTCTCTGACAGATTCACCACCCCAATCGCCAATACCTAGTTACTGGAATATGGTAATTACTTGGATTAAATGAATTTGCCCAGAAAGTATTAACGCAAAATTATTGGTGGCCAAAATATTCAAATTTCGAAAATAACACGACTAGGTGTTTTACATACGCTAGCCAGATTTTATGACCCCGGAATGAAACCTGGTGAATGCCGTCGTCAAGGTCAAGATATAAGAACTTCAATGAGCTTATTTTGGGAACAATCGCGGGTGGCTGCTGCATATGCAGGACTGAGCACGTATGGGAATGGCCAGTGAGCTGTGACTTTGACTGTAATAACATTTGAAAAAAAAAAAACATCATAAACAAACAAGAACCTTACTTAAATGGTCTGATGTGAGTTTGATAGATGTCATAAACAATGATTGAGGACACGGCCATGACCTCTCCAGACCCCGAAGACATCACAGCCATAATTAGCATCGTCAGAACCAGGTAACTTCCGGTGAGTCCCATTTCTGACTGGGCCATGAAAACAGTGACCAAACCTGGAATGTACAGACAGCATTTGTAAATAATATACCACCAGACCAAGAAACCGACTGCTTCACTGATGAGCATTGCAGTAAAAGTTGACTAATTGGGGATGTTGAATTCGAAGTCAGAGTGCGTCTGCTTGTGTGGCAAGGAACCTACACTCTGTACTCTAATATGCCATCCCCTTGTGGGTTACACTGCCATATTGAAGGGAAGAAAAGAACGGACTCTGTACCTTTAACAAGGATGCCGTAAAAGTCGATTAATTAGAGGAGTTTTCTGCGAAGTCGGAGTGCATCTGCGTGAGAAGCAAAGAGCCAACAGTCGGTATACAAACGAGGCAAATTTGAAAAATGTATGTGTACGCAAAACTTAAATTCTGGAACAGGACCAAAGTACAGATGTTAACGAACATCCAGAACCTTCCCCCCGGGAGTTAACAGTCAGTAATGTGGCTAAACTATTTCCAGTTGCCGAGACAAAATGTTGTTTGCTAGTCATTCTTCATGTATGTTCACATCTGTTAGGATTCCAGTATTTCCGTACATCCTGGTCCATGATATTCTGAGACTCCTATATAGCAGTGGTTCCCAATCTGGGGCCGCGCCGACATAGGTGGCGTTTAAACATGAATGCGTCAGTAACTGTAGTAAACCTTCATAGTAACTTTAAAAAAAAATATTTTAAATGAAATTTAAATATTTTATAAAAATAATAATAAAAAAAAAAAAAAAAAAAAAAAAAAAAAAAAGCCAAGGACTTTTTGTTTCCATGCGTAGTTTCTACATCTATAATCAATACGATAATATGTGCATTTATTTAATAGATTAAGAACACATTCTTCCTCTTTGGGGTGGGGGGGGGGGGTGGTCACATTTTAAAATGCTGGGGGTGCGGGGAGGTGTGGGGGGGGGGAGGTTGGGGTCTTGCCATATACTCAAAGGGGCGCCACCTGAAGGAAAAAAGAAATTGGAGATACCTGTCCTAAATAATTTAGTTCAAAAGACGCTATTTTTTAAACTGCCACGGGGACGATGCATTCCTTTAACATTTTGATCTTGATTTCCTGGCTGATGCTCAACCATATACTTGTATTGCTGTTTAATTTCTCAGGGAGTCGCCATGTTAAAGGGGCTAGACGCTCGACTGCGGATCGGAACATTACACTGGCTCCCAGGTCGACCCAGCCTAGAATGGGTACCAGGTGCAGTCCTGGGAAGTGAAGGCGGTGGCGGGATATTAACTACATCACCCACTAAGTGGCGATTGGTTTATAAAGTTTAGGTCAAGCCCTATATGCCCAATACGCCTAAAAGCTTGCAAAGGGGTCTTTTACATTTTTGTTTTGTTTTTCACTTTTAAATTTTCCCCGTGTGGGTTCCAGGGCCCTAATATAGGGAAAACAAGAACAGACCCACTGCCTCCCCAACAAGCATGTTGAAAGAGTCGACACATTGAGAGCTTCCTTCGAAGTATTAGTGCATCTACCAGAGAGGCAAGGAACCAACAGTCTGCACATGACTGTGTCAAATCTGTCAAACGGATGCACACGCAACACCCAGGTTTTGAAACTGGACTGCAGTCTAGAAGTGGACGAACAACCACAACTTTCCGCCGGAGTTTACAGCCGGTGAACGCAAAGAAGAAGAAGAAAAAAAAGAAGAAGAAGAAGAAGAAGAAGAAGAAGAAGAAGAAGAAGACTTAATTTTCAGAAGACGAGAGTGATAAAATTCAGACCTTTGACACACACTGTAAGTACCCTTTTTATGTTAACATAGCCTTGGGGTTGGGGGGGGGGGGGGTATATTTTTTGTATACGAATCAACATGGAAAAGATCAAGTAGTAAACATTCCAGCCGTCTGTCTTTACTAGAGAAGATATTCCCTGTTGCACATTTTTAGCTGGGCAAGTCAAAGTCAATAATAAAAACTCCAGCCCGATACAAATCTAAGACTTCTGGGTGAGCGGGCGAGCGCTATCCACTTGGCCACCAGAGCTCAAACAGACTGACAGATAGACAGATATATATGCCTCTATAAAAGCTCTAATGGGCTGTTGACAGTTGGGCACTCTGCGCCCGATCGGGGCAACGCTACAAACCGGAAACAGGCTAAACCCCCGTGAACGGCCATTAATTACCTTGATCAATATCGTTAGTGTCCAGAGCAAATGTGGAATTGGCGTCGCTGGCTTTGGCGAGGTAGGCCAGGCCCAGTGTGGTTCCAATGGTGGATGGGATGGCGAACCAGATGTACGTGGCCGCGAAGAATCCCAGGACTCCTTGCACTGGTTTTGCAGCTATGCGGCTCTGCCACGAGGCTTGGTCGCAGAAGGTGATGGAGGCGGTAGCAAAGAAACCTTGGACGGCCCAGATGATTGCGCCTTCTGACCAGAAGGTAATGTAGCTTCTGAAAAAGCAGTTAGACTGGGGTTTGCCATTTTCAATGTAGAGGAGAATATATAACACGTTACGTAGGCTTTATAAAAAAAAAAAGAAGACTGTTAACTGATAAAAAAAGGCTTAAATTCCTTAATAGTGAAACGAAAGTAGCTTCGTTTCTTAACAGGAACAACAAGTACAGTAACTTTTTTACTATCATAGAATTAGTAGTGTGTGAATGAAGCACAATAGCATCAGCAGCAGCAGCAGAAGAAGAAGAAGAGGAAGCAGAAGAAGAAGAAGAAGAAGAAGAAGAAGAAGAAGAAGAAGAAGAAGAAGAAGAAGAAAAAGAAGAAGAAGAAAAGAAAGAAGAAGAAGAAGAAGAAGAAGAAGAAGAAGAAGAAGAAGAAGAAGAAGAAGAAGAAGAAGAAGAAGAAGAAGAAGAAGAAGAAGAAGAAGAAGAAGAAGAAGAAAAGAAGAAGAAGAAGAAGAAGAAGAAGAAGAAGAAGAAGAAGAAGAAGAAGAAGAAGAAGAAGAAGAAGAAGAAGAAGAAGAAGAAGAAGAAGAAGAAGAAGAAGAAGAAGAAGAAGAAGAAAAAGAAGAAGAAGAAGAAGAAGAAGAAGAAGAAGAAGAAGAAGAAGAAGAAGAAGAAGAAGAAGAAGAAGAAGAAGAAGAAGAAGAAGAAGAAGAAGAAGAAGAAGAAGAAGAAGAAGAAGAAGAAAAAGAAGAAGAAGAAGAAGAAGAAGAAGAAGAAGAAGAAGGATAAGGAATATGAGGAGGAGGAGAAGTAAAAAAAAAAAGAAGATGGTTGGAATAAAGTATGGACGGAGTAAAGTATTGATGGGCAACAATACAGACACACACAAATATGAATGAACGATAGTGTGGACGGGCAGAGAGATTCTTATACAGACAAACGATTAGACAGACAGACGGACATACAGAATACAGACACAAAGATAAATACACAGACAAAATAGATATATGATATGATATAATAATTTGAAAGTTTATGTTGTATAACATCCATTCCTTAATTCAAACGTCAGTCTATGTGTGAAGAACCGGATCTCTTCATGAGACGAAGAGGATTCTTACAACTTAATTAAGTGTGAAAACAAGTACTCACCTCTCTTCATTCTTCTCCGGCCCAGTCATGCAGTGCACCTTGTCGTAGACAAAGTCGATGGCTTTGAAGGTGCCGGCATTTTCGCCGTCGTAGAAGATGCTGACGGTGAAACACACCAGGCAGATGAAGATGATGACTGTGTTGAAGTATGACACGTAGAATGTGGACCCTAAGCCACCAATGAATGAGTAGCTTCCTGATGGGGAAACAGCATCCCAATATTTAAAGAATTTCAGTTAAATTATTTCTAAAATATCTTGTCATCCCTTTCTGTGATGCAATTTTTCGTCATTTGAAGCCCTACTCTGGCTCTTGCACCTAGGGTGCATGCAGATGTGGGACCTATGATCACGTCTCTGGAGGGACGTAGGTGAGTTGGGGTTAGGACCAGTTCTAGATGTGTGGGTGTCGTTAGACGCATCAGAAAGCCGGGTCTTACCACCCTCTAAAATGGTGGACTGTCCTGTGACGTCATCTGGTGGTAGGATATTACGAAAGAACCTTAGATTCTTGTTTAAAGAAAAGAGTTGCCTATCCTTTACAGGACGTTGCAGAGCCAACCCCAGCATGTTTTCTAGGAAATTTTTATATCCAGTAGTTTGCCATTGCCTTCTGAATGGTCAGCGCACGGTACTACACTACTGACGAAACCAATTAAAGACCAGTCGTTCGCAGCTGGGATCGAACCCAGCACTCCGGCATTATGAAGCTCGTTGGCACCGCCTAAGCCGCGGTCGTCAACTTTAAGGGAAAGCATTTGTAATATTTATAGTCTATCAGTAAACTCACAGTGAGTGTACAAGCTATCTTCTTATTCTTTTCGTATTACTTGCGCGCGTGTGTGTGTGTGTTTTCAGACTAGAAGACCACAGACCTCTATAAAGTCTGTGGTGCGACCCATGTCTTCCACTGTTTCATTCAGTTCGGTTTCCATTGGAATGCCAACCGGTCAGAGCTGGGATCTCTCTACTGGATTAAGTCATGAAGGTGGATCTGCAGCTTAAGTTATCGTAAATTATCTGTAAAACCATAATCAGTTTGCTTGTCGTTAATATTGCAAGTGAATTAATTACTAGTGAAATAAGACGAAAGATACAAGCATTAGAAATGAGATATTTCAGAAATATTCTTGGCATATCATACAGAGACTATATTACAAACGAAGAGGTTCGCCATAAAGTTATACAGCATTTGACAACTATGAATCTCTTTTAACTACAGTGAAATGGCGAAAAATGCAACGGTTTGGACGTGTACAAAAATTTAACGGCCTCTTAAAAAAAGAAAACTGCAGGTCTCATGCAACCATGAAGTCCATCGCAACTGACCTCCAAAGCTGGAAAGAGCTGATCAGACAATCAACAAAAACTGGTGATCCAACGACACGCAGTGTTACGGAATGATGATGATGATGAAATAAAAATAAATTATACGTTCAGCACCATCTGCCGATGCCCGAAGGATTTAACACGGCTTTAATTTTTATGTTTACAAACGTTTTGTAAATTACACGGACAATTTTAGCCAAGGTGCTAGCTGTGAGTCAGAGCAATGGCTGAGTAGCTTCATAATCTTCATCCTCGTTAGCATTAGGAGCCATTCTTTTCGCCTTCATCCTGGTTTGCCTGGTGGTCCACTCCCATTCACCTCTATTGTGACCACTGTTTTTGTCTCTCTATTATCTGCCATAACATGCTTCACTTTAGCAGAACATTATTTCTAGGCTTCATTAATTATAATCAGTAAAACAACAAAGTTAGTTGCGTATCGTTTATATCTGTATTTATAAGCTGCATATCCTTTATAAATGCATCTGCATATCCTCTATATATGTATCTATACGTAGCTGTACAAAGTATATATTTAGCATCATAGGTCCGGTGCTCCTAAGGCGTTACAAAAGTCAATTTTCATTTCTTAGTTATCACTTTGTGCTATAATGTCAGCCGTAAAGACTCCAGCGCTGGTTGGGACATGTCTCACCCATGGAGGACAGTCGCATTCCAAAACATCTTCTGTATTGAGAACTGGAAATTGTCAAGATCTGTAGGAAGGCCAAAGCTACGCTAAAAGAATGTGTGCAAACGGGACCTAAAAGATACCGACATTGACAGACACTTGAGAGAGATCAGCTACAGAACGGCTCCTTTGGAGGCAGATATCGAAAGTCGTACTGTCACAGTTTTACATGAGGTCTAAGGCAGCAAGCTAGAGTATGGAAATGTGTGAGACAAAACCAGCCTGGTATAACATAGAATCAACGTGTATATGAAGACTATGTGGCAGAGACTGTCACTATGGCATAGGACTTTACAGTTATAGCAGAGGTTGTTCCCAAAACCAGCGGTTCACCTACAGCGTCCACAGGGACTGACAGTTGCCTATATTATTCTGCCATCCCATTAAACAATCTTTTGGATATAGTGGACTAAATCCAGTTCAGAACAAATTAACTCTCTCATCAACATTAGTTTGGAGCTGCCGTGGTCTAGCGCTTAGACGCTCGCCTGTGGGTCGAAAAGTCGTGGGTTCGGGTACTGACGGAGGCCGGTCTTTTTTCAAAAATGACTCTTTGGCTCCTAGGTCGACCCAGCCTTCAGTGGGTTCCAGATACAGTCCTGGGAAGTAAAGGCGGCTGGTGTGATGCTGACCACGTCACCCACCAAGTGCCGTTTGGTCTGTAAAATTTAGGTGTAACCCCATACACCCAATACGCCTGGAGGAGTGGACGAGCGTCCTTTACTTACTTTATCAACATACATTTTAGTTGTCTCTTAGACATCTTCGTTTCTTAAATCCTTTACTTTCTTCCTGTACTTACCGAAAAGAGTCGCCATAATGATGACGCAATATTCACCACTGGCGTCTTTGACCAACGCCTGCAGCAAGGCCGTGGAGGCCGTCAGCAGGCATATGGTGATCATCAGATTCATGAGGAGAGCGAAGAAGCAGAAGACGATGTGCGCCACATTGCCGAACCTGGCGTGGATCACCTGTTGACGGAGGGGTCCTTGTGAGGTCACTCGTTACACCACCACCGATAGCAGATAACCAACGATAAATACACAAATTAACCGCAAACACAACCACATCTATACCAGACATTCAAACAATTAACTCCCCGTATGTGTTTGGGCGCACCATTTCAGTGGGGAAAAGAATAAATGCACTTGGAAATCTTGAAGTGCTCATGCGTGCTGCAGAAGTTCCAACTTCAGCCCGCACCCTTGATGGTTTTTGACTTCTGATATTTGCATCTCTATCTCTACCTGAAACGGCTTAACCTTTTGAAGTTTATTTCTATTAAAGGCAATTTTTAAATCGCGTTACCGTATTCAGCATAGAAAATATCCTATATCTAAGGTAGATTGTAGATTTATATAAAATGCACTGAGGAAGGCGATCTATCCGCAACTTTCACGTGTCGTTATTGCTTGCGATACTGTGAAGCTGACTTGTTCTACTTTTCATTTACTTTGATATCTTTTGGTGATAAAGTGAAGCCAAAGTAAGATGAGTTAAAAAAACTACATCATAGCTCTCGGGACATATCCATAAGTGCCCGGTTCTCATCTTTAGCAACTAACCCAATAAACTGTGAGTAAAAAGCTTAACAAAAGAGTGAAAGGGAACGACGTAGCTTAAACAAGGCAAATCGACAGTGATAACGTTATAAAAGTGACAGTTTTGCAAGGCATTGAAGCGGGAAATTCAAAGATAGATGTAAAGATGTACATGACGATGGTGGACATGGACGACATCCATCTGTGGCAGACGATCTCATTCAAAAAATTAGGCGACCAACTCCTTGTGGAAATGCGCCATTTCACAATTTAGATCCTTCTACAGAATTTCCACACATTTCTAGGACTAACGGACTGATCTGACCGTGAAACTGCGCTATCACTGTAAAGTAAATTGTGACGGAACATAGTTTTATGGGTAAAGTAAATGGAGGAGGAAGGTAATCTGCCACTTTACCACTATGTCATGTTTTAGAATATGGTACCCAAAGTCTCATAAAATTCCAAATGGTTGCTTGTTTTTGAGGATTGAAATGAACAATTTTCTGACAATTTATCTATGGGAAAAACTTGCCTAAGATATCATTAGACAAATTTTTTTTTTAAAGATTAAAAATTATTTTTTTAGATTATCTGATCATAACGGTCTAGTGGTAGATACCTTAGTCGTGTCATTATACATCCTGCATGGCATTGGCGACAGTTGCTTACAGTTCAATGTGTTAAAGGTTAATTGCGTAAACTTACAGGACGATGCAGAACCAACCGCAGCATTGTTTGGCTGCTGTGGCAAATTTTACGTACAGTAGTTTGCCATTGCTTTTAAACGGTCAGCTCTCGGTACCTATGTTGAAACCAATACAGGACGAACCGTCTGCAGCTGGGATCGAACCCGGCATCCAGGCATTACGAAGCTCGTTCGTAACGCCTAAGCCACA